CTCAAATCGAAGAAAAATAACTAACAAAATCTTTTCCTGCAAACCTGGTATTATTTATCGGAAAGAAAAAGGCTTCGTTCGTTTGAAATTCAGTTTCCGCGCCATATCCGCCATGTTTGTAGTGCACAGTCTTCCGCTGTCGAGATAAAGGTGAGGATGCTAAGATCTCTATGGTGATTGATTTACTGCAAAAAAATCTAAAAGAAGCTAAAATATTTATTAAGTGGATTTTTACGAAAGTGAAAAATAAATATTGTGCATAATATTTATTAAAAGCAGTGTGAAACGATATAGCATAATATAAATAAAATAAAGACTGATTGATGTTAAGGGTTGGGCTTCCTGTGAGTCTTGCGCAATAAATTTTTGACATTCAATAAGACAGATGGTGCGTGCCCAAGAAAAGATAAWCCAAAATGCCAGTATTCAGAAATAAGGATGAAACTCGCCCAATAATCTCTCTAGGGAGAAGGACTGAACCTTACACTTTGTGCAGTGATTCAGACGAGGATTTCGAGGAAATCGAGTTCGAAAAAGCGGTCTTTGAACGGCAATGTCTGTACGAACCTTCGCGAACAAGAAGACAACGGACCGTTAGAAAACTGCTCTTTTGCTTGTTATTATTGGTATTTGTTGCTATTTTAGCGTCCTTGTTTTATTATTACTTCTCAAGACAGTCGTTGCAAAGATGGAGGAGAATTGAAATGCAAGAGTTAAGGGTTAAACTTGACGGTGGCTATGTTGATGGAGTTCTTGATGACGAAGTTTTCGTTTTCAAAGGAATTCCCTACGCAGTACCTCCATTACGGAAATTGCGATGGCAGTATCCCGAATATTGTACTTTGAATCGTTGTTGGAATGGAACACTCAAAGCTTCACAATATGGTGACCAATGCGTGCAGGCAAAGTTCAACAATGAAGGTTCAATACAAAATATTTTTGGCAGTGAGGATTGTTTGTATTTGAACGTCTGGTCTCCAACGACATCATACGCCGAAGAAAAGTTGCCAGTATTAGTGTATATCCATGGTGGAGGGCTTGTGTCGTCCTCTGGAAATGAGGCAGGATTGCACCCAAGTCCAGAAATGGTAAAACAAATGCAAGTTGTTGCTGTCAGTCTGAACTACAGACTAAATGCCTTTGGATTTCTTGCTCTGGACGTCCTTTCATCTAACTCAGAATATAACACATCTGGCAACTACGGCTTCATGGATCAAATTTTGGTCCTGAAATGGATCCAGAACAATATTGAAAGATTTGGAGGTGACAGCAGTAAGGTCACCCTGCTAGGACATGGTTCAGGTGGGACATCCATACTTGCACTGACAGCATCACCATTTGCTAAAGGGCTTTTTCACAGAGCTATTGCAATGAGTCCCAGTGCAGATATTATGACAACAACTGCAAAAGCTTCAAAAGATAATATGGTTTTTCTGAAAAACACAGAGTGCTTTGGGAGAGGTGAYRCTCTTCTATTRAAATGCCTCTATGACTACCCTGCAGACRAAATAATTAAAGCAATTCCATGGAACGTTTACCCTTATTGGTCAATGAAGGATCGTTATGATTTGCCTACMAAAGGATTATATGATGGTGGCATTGGGGTGATCGATGGCCATGTTGTACCTCAGTCACCAGTTGTTTCTATTGTTAAAGGTCTGTCAAATGAAGTGTCACTTATTATTGGTAACACTGSTCAGGAAATTGGTATAAGACCAAACAAGAACTTCATCCACTCTTCAATGTTTTCACTCCAAAATTACACAAGAGAAAAACTTGTGCCATTCTTTAATGGTAAACCTGACAAAATTGATGAGGTTTTTAAATTGTATGATTTCAACACATCCAACAAGTCTCTTCAATTCCTGTACTTGACACTAGCATCAGATATCAGAGAAGTTTGTCCAGTTGAGTATCTGGCAATGACTGCATCAAAACAGTTTCAAAAGAGCCATATATACCGTTACATTGTAACACATACCCCATCTGGCCATGTCACAATTCCAACAATATCACAAAGTTATGATGGCCCTCAGTATTCATTTCATATGTGGGATTTAATAGCCTTTTTTGGCTATCCTAAACCTTTTAAATACAGACCGTCTTCAACTGATACTTTTTCACAGTCATTGAGGACAGAATTTCAACATTTTTTCCGCTATGGTAAWGTAAAAAATCCAAACTGGAAGAACCATCTCTCACATAGCAATGACACAGCTTTGTTTGATGACTTTGGATTGAAAGTTATACCTAATGTTTACCACCGTAAGCAGTGTTTGTTTTGGCTTGAAAATGGATTTACTAAATATGCTTGGGTCAATTGAGTAACAAGAATCAGWGACTGCACTATTGCATCAAAYWAWTGACTGCTTCRATATGTTTGAGTTCTTTTGYTTATTGACATAAAAAGAGTAAAGTAGCACCACCGGAGAGATTGCTGTCACTCTGTTATAACCAGTTGTAAGCTAATGAACAATACCTTTATGATTTTAAATGGCATTAATTTGTTATTTAGTTTTAGGGTTCACTGTACAGCTTTTGAATCAGTTATCAGACATAAGTCAGGTTTTTGTCAGTTTTAACAATTTAAGGTTTCATTTTCTACAGCAGAAACTCCTAACATGAATTAGATATTTGTTTGAGTACAAAATGTGTAAATAAAACATCAAGTAATAATTAGTATGTATGTGAATCAATTTTTATAAATTTTTTGGATTTCCACACAARATAGTCTCCTTCGCAGCCTACCCTTTTGTCGGGCTTCCTGGAGGGACAGGAAGCMCGACAAAAGGGTAGGCTGCGAAGGAGACTACACACAAGGGGATTGAAGATATAAGATACTCCAGAACACTACACAAAAATACATACATCCCYGGAACACAAATAAAAAACAAGCTAAGTCAATGTTCCGTCWGTCGTCTTTTTTTACAGACAACAGTCTGAACCCATATTCCATGCATATTCATCTGATTTTCAGTGTAGTAATCAAGTCAAAATATGTTCGCTTTGATGAAAAATACCGCAAATGTTGTTAGTATAGTTTACAACATGAGCGGCCGTGTTGTATGGGAATTACAATCTCGAGCCGCAGGCGAGAGATTGTAATTCCCATACAACACGGACGCGAATGTTGTAAACGACTTATAAAACTCCAACACAAATTAACATTAATTACAGTGAGATAACTGACGAAAAATGACAAATAAGGTAACTGCTGAGTTTAGTCCCTATTAAGCATGCGCAATTTACTGCAACACAGAACATTTTGAATAATTATCCATCCCACATGGAAAGCAAGCCATCTGTTGCATAAGCGAGTTCTGTTATCCGTCTTTGATTGCTTCAAAACCTAGTGAAGGTCTATGATGCGACACTAAAACTGAGACCTTTGCTAGTGTTGGGTTGTCTCAATGGTGACGACCGTGTTGTAAATCTGATACAACCACTAGTGGTTGTATCAGATTTACAAGGTCAATCACCTGATTAAATGGTCAGCCCTTATTGGAGCAATAGCTTATGCATTATTAATAAGTTTTATAAAGATTGCGTAAACTAATGTCATTGTTATTAGATACAAATTAATTATTTGAGAAGCAAGGTGGGATTTTCAATGAGCATCACATGTACAGAAAATGACAATATATATCTTTTCTTCTTTAATAACATGTCGAGTCTCTAGAGCCTTGGATTGGACTGAAGGGAACCAACGCCACAAAAATCGAACAAAAACATATCAATGGAGTGATGGAACACCTGCAAACTTCCTAAACATGGTACCTTACAAATTAAACCAGGAACWGSCTGTGTTGCCATGGCTGACAATGGCCAGTGGTTTGACACCSATTGTCAATTATTATCCAGAACATTCGTTTGTGAAAAGTATGCACCTTGATTTGGTTCAACTGATCAGTGATWATTACTTTATCAAAGTGCAAAGTTATACTACAAGATGATCACATGGCCAGCGGATAAGTGAATGCCCTGACACGGTTTTAGTAAGGCTTGTTTTGATATCACCGCAGTGTCGGATCCAGGATTTTTCAAAGGGGGATTCCTCTTTGTTTTCGCATTTTCCTAAAACGAACTTTTTTACTGTGCCTCTCGAACTGTAGCAAATGTAGTGTGAATGTATTTAATAAAAATTCATTGTACGATGCGTTTTCATTTTATTTCATTTATCATTTATTTTATTTTTTATTTTTTTTCATGCTTGAGGGGGGTTCCTAGGAGCCCATTGAACCCCCCTGGATCCGCCACTGCACCGCATAAAGGACTTTTCACGTCATGTCGTTTTTAAAGTTTAAATTTTTAACGCGCCTTATTCAGTGTTTCCCCGTTCTGTGATATTACAAAACTTCACAAGGGGATATCTGCAGCGAAATCTCGAGGCAATCATTCCAGGAGTAGAACATAATTTGTTAGCCTTCACTGGTTATATTTTCATAAGAAAACATACAAACAAGTGTTAACTTTAATTTCACTAATGCACCTACGAGTCCAACTCTTTAAAGCCMCGCTTTTTGTAAAGTTTTGTAATGAAAAATTAATTAAAATGCATGAAAATTAACATTTGGMCTTTACGTTTTAATATAACAACTCTATTCAACTCCGGTTGATCACAGTTGTCTTCAGTAAATATACACACACAAACCCTTTCAAACCAGCCGTCACAGCTTCTAGATTCCTCGTGGCGCCATGTACAGTGCGCAATGTATGTGATAGACCATTCAGAATATCACTAAGGGAAAAGTCATTTTTCCGGCAAACAAAAGACAGAAGAATTTCTGGGAAAATGTTGAACCATTTTTGCAGAAAGGTTTCTTGCTCTGTTTCTTTAATTCGAAATGACTCTTTTCTTTCCTAATTCAYTTTTTATTCTGTCTTATTACTTGCTTTTTGGCTTTTCGCCGAGTRATTATGTCACCACAMTACGCAATATTAGCTAKWATAACGGTAATCAATTCAACTATCACCGTTGGAGACTTTAATTTGTGCAGGTTGATATCGTGCGCGGTAGAACTGCTGAAGTTCCATCGTCAAATTTACTTATCTTCAAACTGCTGCCAGAGCAAATTAAAAGGTGAGTGATTGTAACTTCCGTTGACGATATTTCACACACACAGAGAGTACYTTTTTTCAAGTCTTTTCGGTTCTACATCTACATTTATTTAATCGGTAAAATCTTTCGATATCACACCAACTAAAACAAAAATAAGATAAAAATTACATTAATGAGCATCAGTTTAGTGATAACCTTTCGAAAGACTATATTTCACTTTAGGAATAAACTTGTCAATGCGGTTGTTAGTGACTTTTATATATATTTTGGTATTTTTGTCTTTGCTTTTTRAATCTAACGGCGTAAAGACAAAAATATTTCGGCATCGATAAAGTCATTCGTACACCTTGTTTTCATTTTTTTAAATGGCTAAATATACAACATCAATTTTGRAAATTTTGAAGAGAATTTTATTGGRTTGCAACCCCCGAAATGAAAATTTATCATTCGTTATCATTCGTTATTTTCACAAACCATGTAGCAAGTCACAAAGAGCATACTCAGATTATCTAGAATACGAGCTTTTAGTCCTGTAGCTTACTTTTCGATGAAGATATAAGCGAATAAAGATTTGAAAAACTTGGTTTRAAATATGTATGGGGACGCCATCTTGGATGATAACTTTGATCATCCAAGATGGCGTCTGATTTCAAATTAACTTTAAAAACTGGTTTCCTTTGTAAATTTTGGTCAATTATGACTTTATTTCAAAGAAAAATCACCTTAAGTAAGTTCTTACGAAGTTGAAAGAATGATTTATCTAATCTCGAAGTTTTTATTTACGATCTACGGTAGATTAAATTAAACTCCGCACAAACTAAAACTTTTGTGTTTTGACACCAAAGCGTTGAATTCGTATGAAAATTTGTATACACACTATTTAGACGTATATTTAAAGATATACTGTAAGAAGAGCTCTTTAGAAAAAATATCTTGGGTTTTTCGATATTTTTTGCTTGAGTATGACGTCACATGCAACMCACCAAGATTTGCAATTCATCAGCCAATTTGAACGATACCAGTTGTATGCAAATGAAGACTTGCCTAATTATTGTAACCAACGTGTACGACTGTATTTGAGCTTTTGCCAATTGGTTCTAGAATTGAAAACATGAGAAATAATAAGAAACGCAAATGGATATTCATAAACAACTTAATATTCTATTCATCTTATCAATAATTTATTAGATTTCAATTCTTTACTAAAAAAACAAGGCGCGCGCGCGTAGGCACAACAAAAATGGCGGTAGCTCAAAATTACTTCAATAAAATCCACAAAATAAGTTCAATATATAGTAAATAACTTTTTCCCTGCTCCATTTTGTGTGAAAGTAGAAACGAGCGTCTCTCGTCACATCTCCATTTTTTTTCTTGTACAATTTTGACGTATCACTAAGATTTAAAAATCAGCGCAAAAACCAACGACAACAAAAAGCTGGCTTTATTCTTCGCGAAAGTTAAGGAGTTCCAGATCTTATTTAGTTATTTTGATATGGTTTCTTTTCTATACACAGAGAAAGCAGTCGTTCAGTCTTGTGCCATTATTAGACAGTATGAAAAGGCGTCATGTCATTCCGCTGGTTTCAGCCACAATCATGTGCATATCCACTATCTTCGCTTGTGAAACATTTCGGTTTGTAACTCATGACAAGAAAGTTTTACARGGACATGTAATGTTGACCATGACAACACCTTACCATCAAGTGTGCTGGTCTAAATGTGCTGCTATCATAAACTGTCTRTCGGTAAATACTCGCAGTCTMSTCGATTTGGGAGTTGTAACTTGTGAGCTGAACAACTCTAGTATGAGAGCTAATACATCTAAGCTGGGTGATCATCCTGAGTACCAGTATCACGAAATGACAGCGGTAATTAATTTAAATTGCATGTGCATAAGTTCTTGATGTATATAGATTATGATATTAGTGTGTTCGAGTGTTTTTCATGACCACTTGACTAARATAGCCTTTATTTTGCTTTCTCTAGACTGAACCAAAACTTTGCAGTGCTTTAGAATGTATAAGAAAAGAAGGTAATGACTGAACTAAGCAGGGGTTTGCGCAGGGGGGTGCCCAGGAGTTCTGGAACCCCGTTCCGTGCCAGACGAAGTCTTTGGTAAATCTACACATTGCGTAACGCGAACTCGGATTGTTAAACAGTTGTTCGGTGCAAATCCAAAACAATATTCCCGTGTAATTTTGCATTCAATCACTTTCTTTGTCTTGGTCTTGAAACAAAGAAAGCTGTAGYCACTGTACATGCACACATATTGTACACATCATTAATCAATAATGATAATATGGATTGGCATGTTTATCGATTGTTTTTGGCTTGTGATTCCCCTGGGCTGCCCGGCTTACAGACTGGTTATAAAGTAAGCTACTTCCATGGTGTGCTCTGACTTTGTCTCGTTTGTCAGTTGATTAGTTAGTTTTTGTGGCATGGTTAATCACTATATGCTGTGTTTYATGCAAAGCTCTAGAAGACGGCTGGTATCGTTATGGCAACACAGCTGTGAAGCTTATAAACGAAAACAAAACCTGGAATGATGCAAAGACTCATTGCAAATCTCTGGGAAGTGATCTGGTGACGATCCTATCTCCACGTCAAAGCGATTTCATCCGCCAAGTGGTGGTAAAGGATATTTATGATCGTACAACCAAGCAAAAAGGTTAGTGTCATACARAGATGTTGTTAAGGGACTGATTTCTCTTTTTTGATACTTTGTGGTACTCATCCTTGTCTAGAAGATGAACCGCGAYACCATCAAACCACCCAATGGTGGAATATGCAAAATACTGCCTTAGAATAATTCAAGTTAAGAAATTCATGATTATGCATTTCAATAATCTCTATAAAAGGACGATTGTATTTGATTCCGTCAACAGAAAGTTCACTACCTGATGAACTCGTTGACTATTGGCCTCTTGATGGATCAGACTTTGACGTGCAGTAAGTGCATAATATATCATACTATACTTAAATAATAATAATATATCATACTATATATACTTAAAATGTGATAAGAAATGTGACGCAAAAGGTGATATCATCGAAGTTCCCAYCAAACGGAATTTGAGTACTCATAAATTCAAATAATTTGTGCCTGACCATATTATATCAATTTCATTCAGTGCGCTATATGGAATTAGCCAAATTAGCTGAGATTCCTATATTTGGTATCCATGGTTTGCATGGTTTAGTTTATTGCCCCTTMGTGTTCAAAAATTGGTTGTCTTTGACAATGTGTTTAAAATGGTTGTACATTTACTAACTATTATAGACCAAGAGACAAGCCTGGTGATGCAAGATATGAAATCATCGATGGTGAAATGTCTTTGTACCTTTCTGGATACAATAGCTTTGCTGAGGTTCCCGCAGTGGTATTTAATCCTGAAGGATTTACGACCATGCTATGGATAAAATTGTTAAATAATACTAGGCAACTTGTGACGTTTTACAGTGACTGGTATGCACCTTTGACAACCTTTCTAATGGGCGTTCATTATCCATATAAAGGATTGTTTACCTGGTTCAGGAATTTCAATGGAGAAATGAAAACGACGTACTATTTAAAGTAAGGACCTATACATTTCCAMAGTGATTTTGTTAAAACTTGTTGAAGTTTAATAGTACAATTTGGTTGAGTTTGGTACAATTTTGTTAAAACATTTTGAAGCGTGATACACATGTACCTTTAATGACGGAACAGGACATAAAGGCACATCTAGCGTTGAATTTACCACAATACGCAAGACTTATCAAATCGATTTAGGAGTCTTTGTGAACTTGCTTTGCAGCAACATCAAGCAGCTGAGACAAACCGCACATGCACGCAGAAATGTAAAGTTGTAAAGTGTAAAGTTGAGACTTTGTCAGGAGTACTCTATACTGATCTTGTCTCTCTCTATAGCTACCGCTTCGAAGAATGGGTGCACGTCGCAGTCAGTTATACTAATAARACGCTGCCTGCAATTAAGATATATTACAACGGAACACTCAAGCAAACTACCAGCATATCAAATCTAGTTAGACAAACGATCCATTCCAAGTTCCATCTTGGCATAAAGGGAGATGACTTTCCAAACAGTCCAAAAACAATGCATGGCTATATGAAACACCTTATGGTTTTTAACAAGACTTTGAACGAAGAGGAAATCAAGAGATGTATTGGTTAGTGGATTTATCGACTTCGTATTTTTGTAACGAATACATTTGAAAACGAAATTCCATTCACTGCACATGTTCTGCATGTTTGTTACTATTGCGTATACTAGTACTCGCAATGTACTAAGTAAATACTAACTATGCATTGCGTAACTAGAGTACAAACACTAAAACTGTACAACATAAATACCACTAAATACTGCTAAATTATGCTAATTCTATTGTTTTCAGTATTGTTTAATTAACACTATTTTGTAGTAAATAGTTGAAAGTGCTGCACACGTTTAATGTTTGTACTCTATTTTCATCAATAAAAAATAAAATTTTCGAGAATTAAGGTGGAATTTCCTTAGAATATCACATGTACAGAAAATGCGAGTCTTCATCCTCGGGAACCCAGGGGCGAACGACAGAAGATTATCCCTGGGTTCCCCAGGATGGCGAGTCTTTAATGGCGACAAAAACGTATTGACGCGCAACGCACCTGGATAGATTGGTACTAATCACAATCGCACWAAAGAAAATCCGCAGTCATTCAGCCAATCAGACATGAGCATTTATGTAGGTATGGTTAGCAAAGCTCACGGAAACTATACTATATACCTAATGGAGATATCATTTTCAGTTATTTTACGATATGTATATCTTTTCCTTTTGTTAGCATTTGTCAAGCCTCCAGCAGAGCCTTGGATTGGACTGAAGGGAAACAACGCAACAAAAACATATCAATGGAGTGATGGGACACCTGCCRACTTCCTAAACATGGTACCTTACAAACCAGGAACAGGCTGTGTTGCCATGGCTGATAATGGCCAGTGGTTTGACACCGATTGTCAATTATTACCCAGACCATTTGTTTGTGAAAAGTATGYACCTTGATTTGGTGAACTGTACASAGATTACGTTTTCTTAGTTCAGWACTACATTGTATGTAGARTATATTGTAAGRCTTGTTTTATCATTATTGAATCGGTTTTCCCATTGCTGTTTGTGGGGCTGTATTTCCTACATTTCTCAAACATAACGTTCATGGTTGTGTTTTATTTTTTTCTCTTTCTTTAATTATATTGTATAAGCCCAAAGTTGATGTACATATTTTGTATATGGCATTTGAAAATCCTTAGAACATTTTCATATGTTTATGAAGGATTTCTGCTATTGTTTTCTGACAATACATCTCAAGTTTTTTTCATATACAGAAATAAGATGAAAGTTTCTTAAAAAAYGTCATTTTCAGCTAGATCTGTGTTACCATGGTAATGATCAATATTTTTTGGCTGGAATTGTTTTTTTTAGACGATGCAATACAACTGTAAATCCCTAAAACTTTCATTTGCACACTCAAATGAAACATTGCCTGACTTTTAGKATATATATTTCATAAAAAAAGCACTGTTCACTTTAAAAAATTATTCACAAATTATTTAATTTTGTGCAAATAAAGGATTTTAGTAGTCAAAGCAGCCTTGCTCATTGCCAAAACTGTTCAGCTCATCTGATGTAGTTGTCAGATCCAAATAACCAAGTTCTTTTAACTCTGCTTGGTGTTTCTCCTCAATTTCTGTAACAATGTCGAAAGGGATAATTTCATAGTCATCAAGAATAAAGTCAATAGTGTCATGTTCACTACCATGCCAACTCCTACTCAAAGGATGTATGTTGTCAACTTCTAATAGTTCGTCATCTGAAGCAGTGAATTCACTACCACTAAGTGGAAGTATATCTTCTATGCTTCCTGGAATTGATGGTAATGTCAAACGTCCACCAGGAAGTGCACCCGCAGTCACGGTTGAACTACGCTGACGTATATCTACAATAATCCAAAAAGTATATTAGAACGCTTTTAAAACTACACAACTGAAAGTATATTTACTGATTGGTTAATTAGTTAACTGAGCATTCCCTATAAGGGACTTTGCCTAAATTTAAAACAAGTCTTTTTGAGATCTTAATGCAAGCTCAGAGTTTATTGGCAACTCTTTAAACAATGAAAAACAGTAGCTCTCATACTAATTATGACAATTGTGTGTGTAATATTTTACCCTGGCTGATAGATGAACTGGTTGATGCACCCTTATGTGGAAATGAGTAATAACCATCACCATACTGTGAAGACCAGCCACGCCCTCCAATAAACGTCTTATTAAGACTTCTGCAATAGTAAATAGTAGATAGGGTCACCATGGTAAAGGTTGAAACTTTAATCATTGCACATACAATTATATGATAAGATTATTGATTACAGGATTCAAAGTTGATTGCATTTTGTGTGTTTGCAAGGATCAATATACCTTTTGGTAAGTGGATAGTCTTTGCTTGCCTTTTTTGGTACAGTTTTAGGACATTTYGGATTGGTTGTTTTGTTATGTAGTCTCAAAATGAGAGATTTTATAGCTCCTTGAGTTCTGGTTCTCAAATAATGCTCCATTTCTGCTACACTTAGATTTGTTTGAAGGAACAACTGTAGAGCAGGTTCCTGTATGAAGGCGTTCACTGAAAGTAACCTGTCAATTACAACCAATTCATTATGATATTACCAATGTAAGAGATGATACTTTCATAATTCATAATAAATAATGTCCCAAAAGCAATGTCAAACAAGTACCTCACTAAAAATCTTTGTAGACCATCATTTCTATCTTGCAAGAAACTTTCTTTGAAGCGACCAACAATCTGCTTTTTTGGAAGCTTTGGTGCACCTCTGATAAATGCAAAAAACTAATAGTTATAAAATCAAAACGTCCTATTTTATATTCCAAACTTACTGGACCAAAGTATCTGGTAATCCAAGTTTGCCCCTCAACCACACAAATTCAGAGTATCTTCTTCTTGTTTTCGAATACAACAAAGGAAAACTGGGGTGGTTTGTCTGAAAAGCAACAAAAAATACAAAGCATTTAGTGGTAGATTCCAAGCAGAAGAAATAATTAAAAAAATAACTATTAYATTCTAGACAAGAATACACCTTTCTATGATACTAATGGAAAATATTGGTTTGCTTGGACGAGGTCAATTGAAATGTTCGCGCGCTTTCTCCACTTTATTCTTCCCTTCCAATCAGAGCGCGCGTTCCATTACGTAATTTCCAGATTGTACAACACCATCTTCCTGAACCACATGTTCCTAAAATAAATTCGTCATTTGATCGATCATTCTAGAACTAGTCCTACCTTGAGTTCGATTTCATAATCTGTGTATAGTGCCTTGCCGTTACTAGTATCCACATGTGTTCGAGGATTTTTGACTTCTACATCAAGACACTATAGACATCATATGACAAAACAAGTTAGCTTTCGTCATTGAATTTCGCATCTGGTATTTTTTTGATATTTCCTTACCGAACACCCAATTCCAGACACTGCAACGTGGTCATGGATCATAGTTAACTCATGATTTGACGGCAAATTATCATATATCGATTTGAAAGGATAGGAAAATAAGGGAAACCCACAAAATGCAAAAGACCTTCTAGCCAGCTTGCGTAGCTTGTTTATAAACTAGMAGAGGATTCTGGGACTTATATTTGGGCTTCCTGTGGTACTCTCCCAAGTCTCTCGCGGCTTCATTCTTCCTTGCACGTTTTYCAAAATGGACGCCGATCTTTATGATGAATTCGGCAATTACATTGGTCCTGAGTTGGACAGTGATGATGAAAGTGATTCAGAGGAAGAAGAACGTGAACAAGAGGATGACGCTTTGGTCAGTATTATAAACGATGCACTTTTTCCTCACCGGCSCATAGTTTAGAGAACTCAGTAACCAGAACGTACAGTTTACGTTGAGTAGAATTGACAACTTGAAGCTTTATACAAAATAGGCATGACTTGCCATATGTGTTTATGTTATTGTTTGCTTTTAAKCTTTTGTCAAAGTTTCGTAGCAAAAACTTAGCYTTTTTAGAAAAGTGAATTTTTTGACTCTGACTTAGCACCATGCATGATATTAAAGTTCCGGAACATTTGCATGTCTTTCTTATAGTTCTAAAGATGTGTTTTTTGTTTACATGGAAAGTCTCAAGTTATTTCATGTAAATGTACAATTAACTGTAGGACAGACTAGTTTTTACAGGATTGCGAAGAGAAAATCAGTTTTATGTTGATGTGGTTGGRTTTCCWGTGTTGTRCTTTTTCCTAAAAATGGCCAGTTATTGCAGTTAACYAGCTACGAATTTATGTCTTCATGTGTGCAAAGCTCATTGTGCAGTTTAATTTATCAAGCTGCGATGAATTTGTTTCAGTCTGCTTTCAGCTGTTGTTCAACCTTTGTTGTAACATACTCAATAAGTTGTAAAAAATGTTATTGTTGTTTAACTGTAGGGGGAAGGATATGAAGATGAACAGATGGACCAGGATGATGAACCAAGAATGCAAATTGTTCTTCATGAGGTATGGACTGTTTTCATTTCATCATATTGTAGGATTGATCTGTCATGTATTCTACTCAGATCACGTCAGGTCAGGTTCTAAACAACATATTTTGTTTGATATTATTCTATTTGTGAAAAAAAGAGAAATTAAAACAGCAATATAAACACGATGTTATTTGCACACATTTATTTTGCTACCTCTTTGTMATTTTGTAAGTTTTTACTCTTATTAATGTTAAATTCTATGTTTTTCTAGGACAAAAAATATTATCCAACTGCAGAAGAAGTGTTTGGGCCAGAAGTAGAGGTAAATAAAACCTGTATCCAATGACTTTGCAATTCTCATGGGCAGATATGACATGAATTTGCTCTTGAAAAAACATCACTTTTAAATTTTTGGCTTCAATACATACACTCAACTTCCAAAAGTAATATCGGAGGTATGCATGCCTCTATAAAATAGGCATCTAGTATCTAATATCTAGTATCCAGATATTCCATGAAAGAGTAAAATGCCCGCACTGAGATTTTCTTGTATTTTTCATGGAATTTCATGGACTCATACTAGAGTAAACTGTATATTACACTAAAAATTAGATTGAATTAAAATTGGAAGCGGGTTCCAGATTTATATGAAAACAATTATGCTTTAATATAAGATGTTTTTGATTTTAAGACTGTTGTTCAAGAAGAGGACACTCAACCCTTAACAGGTTAGTTCAGAGTATTACATGTAGCTTTCCTACTACTTGACTTTGTGGTTCTTGTCTCTGTCTTATTTCAATATTCTTATTACAGAGCCTATCATAAAACCTGTCGCAAAAAAGAAGTTTTCATTGATTGAGCAAGAATTGCCACTGACTTCGTATGATATTGAGTATGTACATTCACATTATTACTTATATTAGTGATATATAAATGATAATTTAATAATTATTGATATTAGGTACCTTGCTGATCTAATGGATAATCCTGATCTTGTGCGAAATGTTGCACTAGCTGGTCATTTACACAGTGGAAAGGTAAACAAGTGAATTACCAAGAATATTATTAATATCTTTCAAAGTAAGACTGATATGTGGTTTCTTTCCAGACAACATTTTTAGATTGTTTATTTGAGCAAACACATCCTGAACTGGTTCCACAGGAAGGAAAAGATGTAAGATCTTTATGTTATAATTTTACTTTTGAATTATTATGTATCTATTGTGCTATTAGTTGAATAATTGCAACATTATTAAAAGAGCCTGGTCTTAGAGAGACAYGTTGGGTGTGAAATGAATCTTTGARTTTCAAAAASTTTCTGTTTCAAAACTGAAATAGTTAGCAGCAGAACTCTTTTCTTTCTTGTTATATAAGTCATATTGATCTTCTTGTAATTAAACCTAATTTTATTTTGTTCCTTATATTTTTAGCTTCGTTATGCAGATTTCTTGTTTACAGAGCAAGAAGTAAGTGACTGGCTATAAAATTGTAGTCTCTGGAATTAGGTTAAATATAATCTTTAGAGAACTTTAAGTAATTATTACATGTAATATTAATACAGCTGTTTGATTCATTTAGAGGGGACTGAGCATAAAAAGCACTCCAGTCTCTCTTGTCCTACCAGACACTAAAGGAAAGTCATTCCTGGTAAATGTGTCTGATACTCCAGGTATGTAATAACTAAACTATTTATCAAGAAGTGTAATCTTGGATTGATGATGGTTTGGTTTGTTTCAGGTCATGTGAACTTTTCAGATGAAGTAACAGCATCATACAGACTTTGTGATGGAGTTATGATTTTCATTGATGCTTCAGAAGGGGTGAGTTACTTGACAGAACAGTAACCACCACATAACCATGTATACTTCTTTGTTGTTTAGTTCGCATTTTAAATTATTGTATTTTTTCTTTTTTTGTTTTGTTAAATACATGGTTCTTGTCAATGCAGGTTATGCTTAATACTGAAAGACTTCTAAAACATGCCGTCCAAGAACAGTTATCAGTGACAATTTGTATAAACAAGGTAAAACACATAGACAAAAAAMAGTACTAGCTTGTGCACTCTAGCTTGTTGTTCCAAATTGACTAAAATGTTGTTACATTTTCATATTTTCTAATCAATGAATTGCTCAATATTCTTTTGTAGATTGATCGACTTATGCTGGAACTAAAGCTTCCTCCAACAGATGCTTATTATAAACTGAAGCATATTGTAGATGAAGTCAATAGTTTATTAAGGTTAGAAACCAATGTTTTCTTTATATGACTATGCCAACTACATGCAAACCAAATTGTTTTGTCATGTTTTTATTTTCTACAGCATTTTTGCAGAAGATGATAATAATCTTATAGTTTCTCCACTTCTTGGTAATGTGTGCTTTGCAAGTTCTTCATATGGATTTTGCTTCACACTCTTCTCGTTTGCAAATCTTTATGTGGATAGTTTTGGTAAGTACATACATGTAAGTGCATACAAAAACTGAAAGCTTAATTATTGCCATATGAATGCAAATAATAGATATATTTTTCCTGGTTGTTTGTTTGTTTTGGACTTACTACATGAATTGCTATCAAGATTGACAGACTAGTTATGACGGTATGATTGAGTTATCTATATCTATTAAATATTTAATTGATTTAAGGTGGAGGAATTAATCCCAAAGACTTTGCCAATAGACTCTGGGGTGATATGTACTTTAACTCAAAGACGTAAGTTGGATTGTTTGAAAAATCTTACAGCGACTTCTATCACAAAAGCATCCAGCTTTTTGTACAATCTGACACTTCTTTTACTGTGGCATTTTTTAACAGGAGGAAATTTACACGAAAAGCACCATTAAGTACTTCACAGAGAAGCTTCGTTGAGTTCATTTTAGAGCCTCTGTACAAAATATTCGGACAGGTAAATTATTGCATGATTCTCTTGATTCTTTTATCATTATTACTTATTAAATCTTATTTATATTGATACATTAGGTCGTTGGGGATGTGGATACTACTCTTCCTGATGTATTGGATGAGCTAGGTAAGACTGTATTAATACTATACATAATATTTCTTGAACTAAAGTGTGTGCATTGTACTCATGTGTACAATCAAGTATTCATGTTTTCTTTCTTCAGGTATTCGAGTGACTAAGAAAGAGATGCAGTCAAATATTAGACCACTGTTAAAACTTGTCTGCCAAAGGTTTTTTGGAGATTTTACAGGTATATTGTTATTAAGTATATGTATATAAGTTATTGATAACTTAATGATACTTTAATGATATAAGCAAAATATTTAACCGTAGTATAATTTATGTTGATGTTGTTTGTTTTCAGGTTTTGTGGATGTGTGTGTCAGTCATATTCCTTCTCCAAGAGGAAATGCTAAAACAAAGGTATTGTGATAGTGATGTTTGACTGTAGATATGCAATAACCTTCTATTGTGGAGATATCAGAGTGTTGTACGATGTGGAAAGAGTTTTGGAAGAGTTTTTCCCAGATTCATATTTAGACATATACAACTGAAATTGTTTTCTTTCATCCACAAGACTAACTGTGGGCACAGCTTTATGTTTTCTACTTCTGTAGTTAATTTTAAAAGTACAGTGTAACCTATGACTCTTCTTAGTGTAAAACCTTTATGCAATATCTTTCAGGTTGGGTACAATTATACAGGTCCTCTTGACTCAGACATTGTTGATTCTATGTATGAGTGCAATGCAGATGTGAGTATTTTGCTATCTAGGGGATGACGCCATATTATACACATAGGTTCTCATATACAATGTACTCGACATGTATATCCCTTAAATTAAGCCACATTCTGAGAGTTTTGAATCAGTCTCCAATGAGTGTGTTTACAGACTATCAAAAAATATAAATTCATTTATTTTCTACTTGTTAAAACACCAGTCTTGATACTAAATTATTGTTCTTGTTTACAGGGTACATTGATGGTTCATACCACTAAACAATATCCATCTAATGATGCCACAGCATTCCATGTGTTTGGACGTGTAATGAGTGGAACATGTATGTATTACAGCATAAATGATGCAATGTTAGGTTTTATTAACAATGAACCTTTTTATTACATGAAGGAAGGAGGCAAACTTTGTATGAATTTGAAATATAAATAAACTTATTAACAATAAGAAGTCAGCAGTATTAAGAGCTAATTAAATCCTTCCCTGCAGTGTATGCTGGCCAGCAAGTGCGAGTTCTTGGTGAAAACTACACAATGGAAGATGAAGAGGATTCTAGAGTTGGTTTGGTA